ATGGTTTCTTAAAATCAATTAATTGACAGCAAACTTAAAAAATGATGACTAATTGAGTCATTGATGCATCAATGCAGTAAGAGATCTCAGTACAGTGCAAATTTCGATCTCGCAATCGATCCAATCCCTTTGAAGTTACAGTCTGACGATATGTTCTTCGAATATCTCCGATTTTTTTTTATCTGTTTTTAACATACCAAAACTATTTATAAGTATATTTGTATCTTGTAATTTCTAAACTGTTTTCAAACTGTCACAAAGGATGTAAACACCAACAATTGTGATTTCAGCAGTTCAAGTGACTTCTAATAAGATTATAAAGGAATTACCTCAGGTATCTTGAACAAATGCCTGGTAATTTACCCCAATTTTATAGGAGGAAACCTGTTTAAGAAGCAGAACTTCAATCACAAGTTCCTAGGGGGGAAATTATATATTATCGAGGAACGTCTCGTCTGACCCTAAAGAGAAAAGTGTCACAATACCTGAAAGTTTGTGAAATATTTATATAAAAGGAATACAATTTTGCACATGTTTAATTTCATATTGTTTAATACTCCATGTACCTTTATCTTAGATACAATCATTAATAGCCCAAGGTAACTAACCTTTCCATCATTTTGAGATGCAGATTAATATGTTGTGTAATTTATAATTTATGTTTTATGATCTTTTTTCTCGGTAATTATTAGCAAATATATAAAATATAAATTGGACCCCGTTTTACAAAAGAATCTACGACTAAGACCAAAATGTTATTTTGCAATTAACTTCCTTTTTATGCCCCCGTAATCGAAGATTAGGGGTATATCGTTTTTGCCCTGTCCGTCCGTCTGTCTGACTGTTTGTATGTTTGTCAGCAAAAACTTTAACCTTGCCCACAACTTTTGATTATTTGGAGCAGCTATGGCTTTCATATTTCACATATGTATTCCTTGTGACAAGACCTTTGACCTTGGAGTTTGACCCACTTTCGCAAAATTTACCCAACTTTAACCTTGGCCAGTTTGTGCTGGGGCATTCATATTTCACATGTGCATTCATTGTGACAAGACCTTTCCACGGGAGTAAATATTTTTGACCTTTTGATCTTGACCTGAGAGTTTGACCTACTTTTGAAAAACTTTAACCTTCGCCAACTTTTTTACAGTTGGTGCTAGGGCTTTTATATTTTGCATGTGCATTTTTTATGACAAGGTCTTCCCCTGCGTACCATTAATTTTGACCATTTGACCTTGGAGTTTGCCCACTTTTAGAAAAAAAAAATTAACCTTGACCATACATTTTAATGGTTGGTGCTTGGCTTTCATATTTTCAAGGTATATCCATTGACAAAAGTAATTTTTTGGGGTAACAATATTTTTTATCTCTTGACCTTTACCTTGGAGTTTGACTTGCATTTCGGTGAATTTAAAAAAATGACCAAACACATATTTATCAACCTGCACTAAAGGCAATGTGAATTAATTTCTATGTCTCAGCTTATGTCTTTAGATAGTGTTTAGATAGTGTTTGAATACGTGCCAAATATCTTATTGATATCTCAATTTACAAAAAAAAGTTATGCCCAAAAATGATGCTGAAATGTCAGGAGTGCGACACCTTTTTGTGACATTTTGAAAATTCAATATTTTGGGAAGATCTGTGAAATAAATACTAGTAATACATGTAATGGTTTATGTTGGAATAATAGACTTTCCTGATAATATTCAAAGTATTGAGCTCTAAATGTAGACTGTAGCAACTTTTGTTTGACCAAGTTGTGGTCATGGCTGATGTTGAAAAAAATGTTATACCATGTCAGGAGATAAAATATAGTGTTGCCAAAAAACCATCGAAAAAATCTGAAAGACAATTAAGTCAAACAAGAATTTTCAAAGTTTAAAACAATAACTGATATACAATTTAAAACTTAAAAATGTTAATTAAAAATCACAAGCAGCATAAATGATAGTCAAGTATCTGTGCATACCCAATAATGTCAGGAGTGCAACATTTGATGTTTGGTCCAAAGCATGAAAAACTTTTATCAGTATATGATTCCCTGATTTTTATTTTAGAAAATAAAGAAACAAATAACATTTTTACCAAATAGATTTATCAATTACATGTGTTTCAGATCTATATTGCTATATTGCTATGGTCAGGAGTGCAGCACATTTTTTTAAAGATTCAAATTATATGATGAAAAGACTTTTTTCATGCTAAGAAATATTCTTTAATTAATAACGATCTATTTGAATAATTCAGTACTAAATTATTGACAGTTTTATTATCAAAATCCTTCTCTTTTTCAATTTTATCAATTCAGATATGTTTTTTTTTTCTTTTCTTTGATTTTTTTATGAATGTAAAAAATAAACACACTGAAATATTGTTATAAAATTCAAATAATTCCACCCCAACTTCACTGAAAAAAAAAACAGAACAAGTTCTGATGTAATTTTCACTTCACAATTCTACTTTAATGAATCCCATGCTCTTGGTCAGGAATGCAACAAGTATGTTAGAATTATTGCTGATCAAATATAAATAAATATAACGAAAAATTGATGAGTAGAATGTTTCTGGTTGACCTCAAAATATACTATAAAATATATTTTATCTTCTAAATAGATATTTTAGCTAGTTTTAGGCATAATTAGAGAATAATGATATAAAGCCAAGTTTAAATACTTTGATGTCTTTTAATTATGAATAATTTGACTATAAATATTGTACAATTTCTTTACCACTTGTTGTCAACACTTTATGAAGTTTTGTCTTCTATGGTTTTAATTTTTAATTTTACTGAAGTCAAGAGTGCAACAAAACTGTTTTATAATTATCAATGATCTTCATCTATCTTTACTAAAAACTAAACTGAAAAAAAAATATTTGATACTATTTGATGTTTAAAGCATTATGTCTATCAACTAATTACAGACATTTTACAGTCAATTCAGAGAAAAGTTTTCATCACTTAACACAAATTTTTAAATACAATGTAGATATATAACACAGCGCAAATAATCATGTTTTGAAGTCTTGAAAATATGAAAAACTTGCCGTAAATAATAAAAAAAAAATATCAAAACTATGAACTGATTTACAAACTAAGAATGGGTTATTGTGTGTTATAATTTTTAAAGCAATGTTAAATAAAATACATATAAGATGTCAGGAGTGCAACACAATAATGTAAAATAGGGTCACTTCAAAATCAAATTTTTGGTAAGAAAACTTGCATATCAAAGTTCTTTTTGTGCTTTGATTTTAAGAATTGACTTCAATGGATAAAAAGTGATCTTTGGGGAATTTTAATGTTTCATATTTCTTTCATATTAAAACTTTTCAAACCAGAATAGAAATAATAATGTAAAATAACAATCAAAAAGCCAATTATACAAGAGAAAAACTCAATCAAGGTTTAGATCTAATCATCTATATCCCTGATACCATTTTGAAGGATAAAAAAACTATAATTTCTTTTGATTATGTATTTTAGAAAGTCTTTTATAATGTGGTGATAAATTTCTTTTTTTTCAAATAAAATTTTACTTACAAAAATTCTGAAACTTTTTTTATCCAATTGTCTATTCTATTGCAACTTCAGGAACTTTAACTAGAATGCATGTACAATATGATGATATACGTGAAAAAATGTTATGGGTAATTGAATGTCTTTCAGAAAATTTCAGTGTGGTGGTTATTATTTTTTAATTCACCCATTTGAGAAACCTTTACCTTCGCCATAAGCTGCCATACGGGGGCATCAGTGTTTCACAAACACATCTTGTTTGCATCAATTTGAAAATAGTTTTTAATCTTTTTAAAAAAAAAATTTAGAAAGATATTTTTATACAAGAAATTTTTAATAGAAGCATTAGTTTTGTAAGATTTTACAATCAACTAAGTGTTTGGCCTTATTCTTAAGTTCTTTAGTAAAACGGCCCACTGTATTATTTGAGCATTTCAAATCTTACAATCATTTCACATTTAAAAAAAAAATCTCTACATCAAGTTCTTTCATTTGGTGAAGATGTATGTGTTTATATTTATGGACTAAGGTCTAACATTTACGTATGTGTAAGGTGTTCTCCCCCCTAATAAATTCCAGAAGTGGAAATAACAGAATATAAAATTGCAGAGTGACTAATGTCACAAAAGATTATGTAACTTCAGTGATGTTTTCAAACATATAAGAGGAGAGAACTCTGTCTTCAGCATGTTTTAAATTTAGCAATAAATTTATATTGCTATCTTTCGGGAAGCATGGGAGATAGATAAAAAAATACTACGCATTGCATTCTTACAATTATATCGAGATATTTCAATTTTTGAAGGTCATTTTAAATATCCTAATCATATTCAAACTTGGAAATAAACGCTAAACTGACATCGAGATATCTGGGCCTATTATGCTTGTCTCTTACAAACCAAAGTAATTTTAAGTGGACATGGTAAAATATGTTAGAAAGGTGTAAAGATCCTTAAAACCGAAACTCATAATATCGAAATATGTATATGTTTCCGGTATATATGATATTTCATGTAAATGAATTGAACCCATGCATAATACTGCTTGCAAGTTGTCAACATCTCAATAACTTTGTGTCACTAAGCCGTGTTATTTCCTACCGAGATAAAAATACTTCCAAATCATAAACTGGTAGTGAGTGATGCTTTCCCAATACAATGAAGAAATGGAATGGATCCGAAATACTGCAGAGGTAGATCTTTGAACGTAACTCGGAAAAGCTGCCCTTGAGTGTTGAAAAATTCTGTAAATTTTGGAGACTTTTACATTCTGAACAAATATGCATACATAATTGATTTTCAACAGATAATCCATTTTGTTTAAAAGGGTGGGAATACTTTTCTTCGATGTTTCTTGTGAAGGTGCTTCTGTATTGTTCCAGCATACAGATTTCACCTAGAGAGTGAAGATGTCGGATCCTGGTATTCTTCATATATAAGGAGATATATCATTGTTCAATCAGGGAAAAAACACACGGACGTAAGCAAAGATGACAGGTTTATTTATCAAGGAACTACAAGACACAGTGTAATAAATACTGTATTATCATTCCAAGAATACTGAAGCATTAACTAAATATATGCACTCTTAAAATAATTTTTCGTTTTTGTTGAGCTTCTTTAAATGGTTACAAAGATCACAAAATTAACATTTTACTGTTGTACATTAAACTTTCATTATATAATAAATTTCTATCATATTGCTATTCCGCTACTTAATTGAAAATGTATGTTTTAAATGTTCAATCAAAACTACGTTGAACAATGTTAATCATTCTAAGTGAAATGAGATATATATCAACACATGTATACATACACAAAGCAATAAATGACAATGAAATTTTGAAATATTAGAAATGATTTGAAAAGATATTGTAAAACACATAAAAAACCTTGCCAGGTGTTTTCAGACAACTTTAAACAATCCCTTCATTACGGTTCACAATGGCGTTTGAGTAATTGAAGACCATTAAATCATCCACTGACCTTCCTATGAAATGTACTAAAACACTGCATGTCATAATACAAATCATAATCCAAGTTTAAATAGTTCAGTTTAAGGAGATTTCAACACCCCCCCCCCCCCCCCCCCCCCCCGAAAAACAACAACAACATGGATTTCTCTTCAATCATCCATTAGAACTTTTCTCAACTTCTTGGCATTTGTTTATTAAAAGCTCCACCCTTTTCTTAAACTTGTCAATGTTATAATTATTTTTTTTGGGGGGGGGGGGGGGGGGTCAAATTAGCCTTGATATCATGAACAAAGCCTGACTGACAAGTAGAGATATTAGGGAGTTTTAGACATCAAGGTTATGACTCAAGTGCATTACACAACTGGGGAGCAATGATCTCACTTCAACATATCTATATATATATGCTACTGATGGTCAACACATCACATTTCAACCATGTAAAACTATTTGCAGAATTAAAATTTCACCTTCAAAGTTGACATGATCATTCAACAAAAGTAAAAATATATGTTTATCATAAATACAACAATAAAAGCTATCAGACAACACATACAGCCATAAAGTTTTTATGAGTGAATATAAATATTTTTTGTTCAATTATAAAAATGATTTTTATCATCAATGAGCTCTAAAACATTTCATGAGAGAAACATCTGGGTTCTAGCCACAATGATAACTTACTCAATTCAAATGTGATTTTTCTTTACTTAGTTAGCTTTTTATATTCAAACTAGCACAATAGAATAATCATGAAAAACACAAATATGATGATTAAAATGTTCAACACATTGTGTTAACTGGTATATTACAGATGGAATGATACTTTTATTTCATCTTTAGAAATTTGATTATTTAACATTTTTAACATTTCTAAAAATTGCACTAACATGTATTTATTGCATTTACCTTTCTAATAGATTATTTCAAACAAAAAAATACTTATACATCAAGGATGAAGAAATGCATTGACTCACTTGGCTATTATGCTAACTGTATACATCTAAAGGAATATAAGAATACAGGTAATTTAAATCTGTAAGCATGTGTAGAGCATAAGAAATACAGGATACAGGTGTGATATTTCAGGGGACTGCTTTTTGAATTCCTTAAAAATCTTACCCTAATATATTTGATAATTTTATAAGGTTTCTAGGCAATGTAGCAGTAAGCCACTTTTCTAGATTATATTACAGGGATTAAAGTGAAAAGATTACTTGTAATGTACTTGTTGCAAGAAATGTCAGTTTTTGTGACAACAGGAGACTGGCAACACAATAAACAAACAACCAGAGAAGACTCTAAATATGATTTGCAATGCCACTCTCATATCAAATAATGGTGAAGACACTACGGGAATTGTACATGTAATATAGTTTAAACGAGGGTGAAATCATCTACTTCGTTATTGTTGAAAAATTAGCATTGTGATATAATACATTGTACATCAAAACTTAAATACATATATATCAGAAATAGATCATCAAAATTTCACAGATAATGAATGTACGGGAGTTTGTCAGAGTAAAAGAGAATTTCTCCATCTTCCAATTATAACACAGCTCTAGGTTTTATCCTTGCTAGATAAAGATAGCATCTTCCAATTATAACACAGTTTGAAGTTTTATCCTCACTAGATGAAGATTGCATCTTCCAGTTACAACACAGTTAGAAGTTCTGTTGGAGATAGATGATGCTAGTAAAGAAATGCAACACAGAGAGAAGCCAGAGTGAAAGAAAAATTACCACTCTTTTCTTAAATCATGGAATGTTTCTAATCAAGTTTACATCAAATCACAGTGATATCATGGTCAACAGGCTGCTCTGAATCAGTTCTCTAAACCAAACTGTGAGATGTCCTAGGTGGACAGCACAAAATTATAATGTTAAGTGAACAAGTTGCACAAATTAATTGTGTAGGAATCTGATGGAACCAAGTACATGTATAGATATTGAAAAATCTTGGAAGTAATTTTATGGAGCGTTGTTCACAACATCAAGCACGAAACCATGATATGATGGAATTAGATAGCAACTGTACATGTATCACTTTCATTTTCTCTCTTCTCTTGTCTTGATATTGCATTGCCATCATCTTCCATTTGTTTCATTTAATATGCAAATTTCAAGCTACAATAAATTAGATATTTATTATTATTTAAGACAATTACTAAATATGATGAAATGCTGTACACACACACACACACACACACACACACACACAAAATAGAATTTAAAATATGCTACAACTCAACTTTAACTTTATCAAGAGGATGGTTGCTTACCTTCAAAATAGCTTAAGTTCAGAAAATTTTACTTCAAGATAGGCTCATTTATAAAATTTTATATTCAGGAAATTGTGTTGTTTTTGGTGGTATATTTTGTCACATTTTCTTGATTTTCCCCCATTCTGATTTTTATTTTACAACATATTTATCACTTAGCTCTGAGTACAATCAAGTATTTACACTCACAGTTCTCAAACCCCGCTCCACTGGATCCACCAACATAAGACCTCGAGGGACATATACTGTCTGGTTCTGTTCTGCTATGTACTTTCCAACCTTTTTCAATACCTGTTTAATATTCATTTTGCAAAATGTTAAGACTTAATATCAGAATAAATGACATTAAATAATTTTAAATTCTTGAAGTTTCATTGTCTCTATTTGTTTTTAAATGCACAGAAGATTTTTTTTTAGGTACAAGTACAAACTTGCAGTATTTCTATAATATGTTTGATAGGATAAAACATTTTAAAATTTACATACATGTATCAGATATAGCAAGTCTGATGACATCTTCCTTGTACATGTTGTATCCAGAAAAAACTTACTTTTTCATAATGTGTGTCTAAGCAGAGGTAACTGAGGTATGCTGTCAGGCAAGCAAAGCAGCTCTCACAGTAATTACGACTATTTAGTGACTCAGCCTCCGCAAACATGGTATTCAAGGAACTGATGGTCCGTACAAAATGATCATTCTCAATCTACAATTGGAGCAAAGAATTACAAACAACTATATTAATTACTTATTGGTATGTGAACAAGTGTTACATGGAGTGAAAAATGATTGCTTAAGTTTCAGTGGATGCCATACTTTAAAAAGTAACACAAAAAAACTTGTGTGTTCAGGGAACAGGTTTCATCTGTAGGTGATAATTACTTTAAAGACTACTCCCTGATAAAACTCAATGTAATCCCTGATGTGCTCTTTATACACTGCCAGTAACATAAAATCTAATGAGAAATTTAATGTATCATCTGTGCTGTAAAAATGTTAACAAGTTTGAATGTCCTCATACCTTTCCTTCAAGCTCAGTGGGAAATTTGGTCTGAAACTTGACAGCAGTTCCATCTGAGAAATCCCTTTGAATAAACACTTTCGAACAATTGGATGGGAGAATCCTTGTCATGTCATCCATTTTTTGACCCTGAAATATGTATAATATACATTATATGTATTAATCTTATATAACAGGTAAGGAGAAAATGTATGGCTGGACCGGGAATCCAACCTGGTACCCCCGCATCACTAGTCTGGTGCTCTATCAACTCACTATCCAGGCTGATATCCACAGCCCAAACCAAACCATTACATTCCTCCCTCCTTAAATCATCTTTGTCCTTGAACATGTAACCCAAGTTCTTATCTTCCCCTGGCAGGACTTTCATCTGCAAGTGCAAAGGTGATCAAAGGCACCAAATTGAAGAACATTTATGGCTGGACTCCTGCATCATTAGTCAGGTGCTCTACCAATTTAGCTATCCTAGGCAGGGACCTAAATACTAGTATATAGGTCCCTTAGTTAGAATAATCTACCTATGTCTCAGGACAAGCCCTCACCACAGTTAGAATACGTCCCATATACATGTACTTGCAATGTAGCAAATCGGAGCGGATCCACTCCAAAATGATTTTGAAGAATACAAATGGAGTTGCACTGAAAATAACTACCAAATTAATCATATCAAACCTTTTTGAGATTGTATATGCCTTTTAACCTAAAAAATAATCCGTATAAAGACGAAAATTCAACTCATTTTCTCAAGGTTTTTTCCTCCCTTCAAATTTAACGCCATGTTGACATTCCGAACTCTCTGGATTGTTCATAGAAAATGCAGAGAGTATGAGTTATCACCTGTGTTTATTTAGCTACATTACCAATACACAGAACAAATTCTATCATTAAACCGGGTCCGTAGGACAATATCATTTTAACAATAGAACCTTCTATCTCATAGGTCCCTGTCCTATGCCAATATCCATGGCCAAAACCATTATACATAAAAGAAAATAAATGTCAGTCCAAAAGCATTTTTATTGCTACTATGAAGAATAGATTATGTATAGCAATTTAGAAAAAAAATACAGGCAATTAAAATATGAGAAAATTAGGGACCTATATACTAATGGTAGTATAGATGATCAAATATTGGTGTTACATATAATAATAAAACTTAGACAGATGATAATCATTCTAGATGCTATGCCAAACATTTTGGGACATTAAAATTTGTTCTGAATGCCACCTGACCACAAAATCTAAAACAGTTAAACGTTAAAGTCAACTACAGGGTAACCTTTAAAACTAATCATTATTTACAGGATTCCAATCATTTTTTTTTCTCACGTTGTTAAATAAAATGTTTACTAATAAGCCAATTTCTATCATTAATGTCATGAAATTGTTACTGTCTTTTCATATCTGAAGGGTAGAACTTAGTACACATGTATGCATGTAGAAGGTACCCCCTGTCATGACAGTAACTGCCGACTGTGGGCCAGATTCTGTGTTTTGAGGGTCTGATACAAGCACAATAAAAATGGATTACCGGGGGTAAATCAAAATATGGCAGATTAACAAAACTTCATAAGTATCTAAACATTTTAAGTACCTGTTGATGTACAGCCATCCCAAAAACTTATAATATTATTTGCATTATCCGGGGATTTGTAAATAATTGAGACGAAATAAAATAGAAACACGGTATAGGTTAATTATTTCTTTTCCGGATAAAATGCAAAGTCGCTTTGAAAATAACATAAAACTAGACTGATTCTGATTTATTCTTTAGAAAATCATATCCTAATTGCTCACTACGATTATATTACAAAATAACAGATAGCATAGTTTTAAATCAAGATAACAATACTTACAGTACGAGTATGTAATGGCACGACATACTGTATTTCAATCGAGAGTACGTGCACTTCCGGTGGGGATTCCCTTCCGGTGAGAAGTTTAACCTGAAAGACAGAAAGTTAGTTAGTTAGTTTGATCGGATGACACTGGCATCGTTCTCCAATAGAATGATAGTTGGTAAATGTATACATTATTGATATTTACAGATGATATGCACAATTTTCTGTGGTAAAAACGGGTTCTATCGTATATTCCTCCAAATTCTTCGAGGAAATTCGAAATCACACTGTAATGCTTTGTTGATAGGAAGTTTCATTAAAAGTACTCTAATATGTAGACGGTGCGACCGTTGGGGCGTGCGCATTGTTCCCTTAATTTTAAGATCCGCCTCTTCAAACCGCACGAGACATTTGGAACGTCTAGACTGTGACGTCACATGACGTCGTATGTTAGCTGCATTTCCATAAATGAAGTTTGAAAAGTGCAAAAAATTTTAACAAAGAACGTTTAATCTACTATCTGTATGCAATATCCATTAAATTATTTTTGTGAATTTTTAGTTGTTGTTACCGCCTGAACGAAGTTAACTGAACGAAGTTTGCGCCACTCGCTGCGCTCGCTATTATCATGTGGCAAACACACAATCATGCAATTTAAGCGTGATTTCGTTATGTAACATACCCAAAACTGTACAGAGCTGATTGATTGCAAAGACAGTAAATACTAGATAGGCCCTCAGCTCACCACACCGGGTCCATAGGACAAATCACATTATCATTTGAATGGATAGAAGATTGTATGTTCGTTCACCCAAAAATGCCTTCGCCCTTGATTCCCTAATTCTCGTTCGTTCAGAGTCCATTCGCTCTAAAACTCATTCACCCAAAGTCCATTCGCCCTAAATAAGTAAATATATTAGTCGATTAAAATTTTTCGCAATTTGATTTATTTGAATATCATGAATTTTTCTTTATGAATTGTTATTTATCACATTTCAACATATTGTATAGATGAAGAGAAAATACACACATGCATAAAATGAATGAAATTAATAGATGATTTTAAACTGTAGTAATTCATCGATGTGAGATAAATATACTATTTTGTTAATTTATGAGTAATGTTAAGTAACTTTTTAGCAAGCGGCACAAAGCACCGCTCGTCACTGCGAGCTCTTAAAGCAACGCCTGGGCGAAGGGAAAATTTGAACTTTGCACATTGATCCAAACAATTTTTTTTCCGCAGTTACCTGTGGTCCCATAATGCTTTGCGAATTGCATCTTGCCGCAAACAACATTCTCGCGGTAACAAGAAGTTCCACGAAAGAAATAAACTTACCTTGATTTGATGGATGTATAGCAGATAAATAGTAGATTAAACCTTCTTTATTAAAATTAGCATTGTTCAGACTTCGTTTTGGTAATGCAACTTACAAGCGATGTCATGTGACGTCAGAGTCTAGACATACTAAATGTCACGTGCGATTTGAAGAGCCTGATCTAAATAAAACTGAATATAGGTATCTGCGCTCACCCTAAAGGTCGCATCGTCAACATTATTAATTTAGGAATAAAAGTGTCTTCAAAAAAAAAACTTCTGTTCAGACGCTGCTTTTCTCCAAGATGACATATTAACATGTCAATTTCCTTAATTACTTTCAAAATATAACACCAATCTTATAAAAACAAAGAAGGTGTTCCTTAACAGTAATATGTTTTACGGTGTGACTGTTTTGGGGCAATCGCAGCTATACCATCAAAAACTTTACACAGTTTACACTTTTAACTTTGATCCGCCTCTTCAAACCCCACGAGACACAGTCTAGACGGTGAGGTCACATGACGTCAGAATTTACGGAGATAGCTGAGCGTTTGGTTGAATGAGATTACAGGCCTAGTGCAATTTTTAACAAAAATCACTGTAGAGCAGATGCAATTATTTTTTGTTACCTTTTGTAGCTCTCTGCAAACTGCAGGCCTTTTATAATTTATCTTATTTTTATTTTTTATACATATATTCACCATTATTGCATGGAATCCTGGTAGTGAGGGGATTCTGGGAAGGTTTCACACCAAAATTTGCCTGACGAATGTCACTCACTACCATTGGCTCATATATTCACCTCTGTCGTTGGCTCGTGTATATCACAGTGATAAGCACGAGAAATAGTGCGTTACTTTGTTTAAATTCATTATAATTAAATGCCTGCACTAATGTTTCTCTTTTAATATAGATATTTACTAAGTATACGAGGGGTGATCAAAAAGTTCGCGAACTAATCGAATTACTTCCATAAAAGAAATAAAATTAGCTTTCATTGTTTATTATTTTTTTAAATAGTCCTCTCCGATGTTAATGCACATCTGCCACCATTCTGCTCATGCACAAATCACATGATCCAGGTGGTCATGTGACATGCCCCGTAACATTCTGTTCACAGAAGTTAAAAGATTTTTCCAAGTCTTATATTTCTTACCATGCAAGTTATTTTTTATAACAAAAACAGTCCATTTGTCAGAAATGGCCAAATCTCTGCAATAGGATGGGTGAATAAGGATATCCATTCCCATAATGAGCAAGGTGACCATCACAACCCGAGTCATTTGTCTTGGGAGCGTCATTTTTCCAATGTGGTTAAAATATGACTGCTTTCTTTTTATCATATCTGATATGTTTTAAGTCTAAAGTAAAGGATATTTTAGGGATTTGATAATTATATTACTGTTAAAATATTCAACTATTTTTCTAACTGTAACTTGGCAATCTTTCATAACAAATTGCACAACTAAGGACACATCTCTTCCCAAGCTTGCTTTCACTGGGCAACAGAACAAACATAATTTTTAACCATCTTCCTTCCTTCATTAAAACAATCAATCCAATTAATGATTGAACTTCTGGCAAGTCTTTTGTCTTCATAAACCTTGTACAAATTATGATATGCTACTGCAAAGGGATTTCCAAGATATACGTTAAACTTTACAGCCCTTCGTTGCTCGAGTACGACTGAGTCAACCATCTTTGTCACAAGTCAGCTACATATTGACGTCATTTTCACATTGTGACGTCACAAACATGGAGCAAAACAGTACATATCATCTGCTATTTATAGAATGTGTGTATGACTATATGTGTGCCAAATTTCACTCTGATCTGAATTGTGATTTTATAAATATAGAGATAGTTCACCAACTTTTTGATCACCCCTCTTATCTAGAATTATTAGTATAATTTGAAATAATCCTTGGAATGTCATGTTTTTTACGTTATTTCAAAAATCTTGACGTGAGCCCATCGCAGAGATGTGTGAGAGAGAAATGAATGACAACTCTGCAAGGGAGATTGGACGAATGTACAGATTTCATTCAGAATTTCCTCTGTTCTTATATGTTAGTCTATTATGCTCGCTATTAAAAAGAAATGACTTAAAACAGAAAAGTTGACAAATATCATTTACAATAGGGCAAACAGGATACATGTCGAACTGGGTACAGGGCAAATGTGAATTATGGCGAAGAGACTCATGCTAATAGGTAGATAGGGCGACGAACCCAATACATTAGAACATTTATCTACAAATCCTGATATCTAGAGAACCCTTTGAGCTTTCGCAATGAAATTGTACATAGCAACTCCCTATGGCCTAAAGAAGAACGCTATGGATTTTGAGGTCAAAAGGTCAAGGTCATAAATTCACATGCTTCTGTGCTAAAAATTTTGTCTGTTTTAACACTTTCGTTTCTGTGCGATATCTCGAGAACCCTTGAGCTTTTGCAATGAAATTTTACATAACAACTCCCTGTGGCCTAAGGAAGATCCCTATGGATTTTGAGGTCAAAAGGTCAAAGTTCAAGGTCGTAAATTCATACATTCCGTCTGTGTGTAACACTTTCATTTCCGGGCGATATCTCAAGAAGCTTTTGAACTTTTGCAATAAAATTTTATACCATAAATCCCTAGGGCCTCTCTAGCCCCTCTCAAAGTGTCCCACACAGTTTTATTATTATTATTAAGGTCTTCCGTCTTCACGGAAGACCTTATAGTGATTCTATTGTTTCTTATTATTATTATTATTCTTTTTTTTTCCAAAAATTTGTGCACGCGATTTCTCAAACACTATTCACTGGATTTCAGTGAAACTTTCAGAGGTAATGGATAATGATATAAACTTTGTTCATCACAAAGGAAATTTTTAAAATTCCCTTCCGGTTCCAAGTTATGGCCAATTTCCTGATTTTAAAATGGATTTTTGTCTTCGCATCTCCTCATGAACGGCTAAAGATATAAACTGGAGACATGTCAAAGATGATAGAGCATGAGTTGTAGATCTGCAACTTTATTTTTTTTGGCGTCGTCATTACTTCCGGTCGCCACCGGAAGCGAATTTGAAAAGTCAATTTTTCCAACTTTTTTGTTTTTCCAATTTTCTTTATGATATTAGTAGGGATATTAGAGATTTTCATTTAAAAACTAAATATATAATTTGGTTTGAAATTAATTTATCCATATTTCATTTATTATATTCGGCTCCCCCCAAATTTGTGCAGGCGATTTCTCAAACAGTATTTATTGGATTTCAGTGAATCTTTCAGAGATAATGGACAATGGATATGAACTTTGTTCATCTCAAAGAAAATTTTGAAAATTCTCTTCCAGTTCCATGAAATGGCTAATTTCCTGATTTTAAAATGGATTGTTGTCCTCCAGAACGGCTAAAGATATGAACTGGAGACATGTCAAAGATGATAGAGCATGAGTAGAAGATCTTCAGCGTTATTTTATTTGGTGTCGTCATTACTTCCGGTCGCCACCGGAAGCGAATTTCAAAAGTCAATTTTTCCAACTTTTTTTGTTTTTCCAATTCTTTTATGATATTAGTAGGGATAATAGAGACTTTCATTTGAAAACTAAATATATCATTTGGTTTAAAATTAATCTATCTATATTCCAGTTATTAGCCCCCCCCCCCCAAAAAAAAAAAAATTGTGCAGGTGATTTCTCAAACAGTATTTATTGGATTTAAATGTAACTTTAAGAGGTAATGGGCAATGGAATGATCTTTGTTGATCACAAAGAAAATTTGGAAAATTCCCTTTCGATTCCATGTTAAGGGCAATTTCCTGATTTTAAAATGGATTTTTGTTTTCACAACTCCTCCACAATAGCTAAAGATATGA